CAAAAACATCACTTGGTGTTTTGTGTCTATGCACCATAAGACAACCAAAGCTGTGATTCTCCTGATATCGCTGACAAACCACAGCTGGAGGTTTTTGGTGCAACTTTGCTTTGATGTAGACAGACAAAATATGAGGTTAGTTTAGCGAAAAGTGGGCAAAATCATAGTTCAACTTACTCCATCTGGCTGTTAGGGTTAAAAAACGTGTCTTCAAAATTGGTGTGGACTGTTAAGAGTATTAAAAGCCGGTTTTTTTATTTGTCAGATGATGGCAACGATAAAGCACCAACTCCACAAACAAGGTGGGGAGTTGTTGTTTAGTGCAGGTCAAACCCAGCAGCTGATGCAGCTCCAGACCTTCAGTCAAAGCAGTCCTGCTGCTAATAAGTCAATGACATTTAAACAAAATTCATCTGTCATACAGTTTTAGTGAAGTGAGAATTAAAAACAGACACCAAATGACTTCCCAGAGCTCGTGACGATGGTGAGGGCAGGAAGGCATTATGCTCAAGTCAATCTCACGCTCCACTCTCCCCTCACTCGTGAACAAGACCCCGAAGTAGTAACTCGTTCCTGACCTGGAGTGGGCACTCCACCCTTCCAGCTAAGGACCATGGCCTCAGATTTGTCTTTCCTATCGCTTCACACTTAGCTGCAAACCACTCCAGGGTGACCTCCGTGCAATTTTGCGTAGGCGTGTCAACCAAGATAGCTCTACAACATCCAAAGCCTTCAGGAACGCAGGGAAACTCTTATCTACCCCAGGGGCCCTGCCACCAAGGAGTTGTTTGACTGCCTCGGTGACCTCGTCCCCAGTGATAGGCGAGTTGTTCCCCTATCCACCAGACCCCGCTTCCTCTACACAAGATGTGTCAGTGGGATTAAGGAAAGTGTTTCTTCTACCACTTGACTATATCTTCAGTTGAGGTCCCAGTAACACTGTATGCCGTTTGAGTAGAGCACCACTTTTTTTCAGCACACTGCTACCACATCCAAGTTATTGTGTCAGCCACTGCCAGAGCTGCTCTCCACTTGTCCTGCCAGTACCTTTCTGCTCCCTCTGAACTCACACAAGGCAACGGAGCGCGATTAGAGTCCTCCTTCAGTACAAAATCCATCCACAGACATGCAAACGCACGTTGAAGTGCCCAAAACTGGTTGTTTTGATAGTTCCCGTTGCAGAGTGTGTCTCCAGGATCACATTTTGCCACAATAACACACCCACAGAATCATATTGTTTCCACAAGGTGAAAGCAATATTAGCTCTGCGATCGCAGCTAGTAATAAATTCAGTTTCACCAAACAGGTCGCAGCAGGTGTTGGCCTGAATTTCACCTGCTGCATTCATTTAACTCACAAAGCTGCTGATGTGCTGTGGAAACACGAACACAGGAAACTGGATGACAGAAGCCTGAAAACAAAGAGACAGAAATCGAATGTGAGATTGTATAGATTCATTTTAAGAGTTATGAGTAGTTTGAAATGTGTGTTTGCCGAATATTCATGGTATGAAACAAGTTTTCTTTGAGTTGCTGGTAGTTTCCTCCCCTAATGTAAGATTCAGATGAGCTTCTAGAGTTAGAAGTATCACCATGACCTGTTTCAGAGGACAGGGTGTTTTTATAAAATCACTCCCAATCATTTCTCTCCTTTTCCCTGTTTTTCCGTCTCCAGGAGCCGTGTCCTCCTCCGCTGTCAGACACAATGACACCAGAAGAGGTACAGTAATGAAGGATTTGCATAATTTTACAGAATAGTCTGCTGAATAATTTTAAGCATGCTATTTGAATGCTTAGTGCTGAGTCACAAGACATTATCCCACAAAGTGGGAGCAA